GCTTACTTAAAAAAAAATTCAAAAATCTGTCTAAGGTTAAAACGTTGTAAGTGCCATCAGGTTTGCAAGTCAAAACGTTTTAAGTGCCAGATTTTTAACCGTTGTTTCCTACAATAGAAACTTGCCCTGGTTGACCTAATTTTTCTTTAAAATACTTCTTGGCATCATCGTGAAGATAAGGGAGCATTTTTTCAATATCTGATTTTTTTTTTCTCTGGGATACCAAAGTGAGTTCTAGTTTTTTTGAAGGTCTATGATTTTAAAGTCTTCTAAGGTAACTCCAGATTTGAGTACATTGGTCTCACTCCATCCAGCGAGCTCACTATGTCCTTTAGCCACCATCACCGTACCAAATTTCTCTCTTGTAAGACGAAGCTGCGTAGCTGTTGAAATCCCTAACTTCTTTGTGTTCGATTTATCACAGGCAACGGTTTTGAAATCATAAAAGTCCTTAACCACCATGCACGAGAATGGATTTTTCTGGGCCGCACTAGTAATGATGTTAACAATATTTATCAATGTATAAGCCTTACACACTTTTTTACGTTTTGCTATGATTGCGAAATCTCTGTCGCAATTAAGGAAAGTGTGTCCTTTTACAGGAAATTTATGAATAATTTCCTCAAAAACGTTATTTGCTAGTATGGTCAAATACATGGTGATCATGAACTGATTTTTATTTTAACCCCCACAATTATCCGACCACAAAATAAGCTTTTTCTTTCCGTGATTGCCAATTTCCTTAGTAAGGTAAGTATATAAACAGGAGCTAATTTCCAAGGCACCCCTTCCCCCAAAGTCCTCAGTCCATAAACACATGAATCCCTATCCTGTGATGGAATCGTGAATTCCTAAGTTACACACTGCAAGCTGTTGTAAATAGTACATTTCGGAGTGAGTTAATTTGGGAATGTTCATTTGCTGCTGCATATCGGAGGAAAGAGCATAGCAATTACTTGTACATGCATTTTTGGTCTCAGTTGACATTGCTTTTGTAGCAGCCTCTGCTCTCCTATGGTGAAGCTCCTGTTCTGTTACAGTAGCTTTATCTCCTGATTTTATTTGAACAGCCAAACTATCACATGTGGAGCATGTATCTACTTTAGGCCTTGCAAAAGATAAGTTAAATTTTGATATAAAAATTTCATTATACCATTGTCTAGTCACTGGTGGTTTGTTAGGCGGCTGATAATCCGCATAATATTTCTTTAAAAATGCACGGTACATTCTACTTACGTTTAAATCCGGTGACAAGAAGAGCTTATCCGGGGTTTTCGCCCTTGCGTAGTGGCTCTCAATATTTGGAAAACTTTCGATATGCTCTATAATCTTGTTAGTCCAGAGAGTCTTGAAAATATTTTGTCGAGCCCCTCCTAGTTTTTCTGACATATCCATTTTACCATCAAGAATTTTTTCTCCCAAAAGTTGCACTCTTCTTGGAGTTACGGCAAACGTACTACAAAATGTTTTGAGGCAAACCCTTATTTCAGATCCTCCAGGCAAAAGTAAATGGTAGGTGAAAGGGTGCTTTCTCCTACTTTTACTGGGATGTTCGTACTGACCATGAAGTCTCCTTTTGATTAATTGGGGATGAATAAACCTTTGTAAGTAACTTTGCTGCTTACCATAATCAACCATTTCATAGAAATGATTGTACAACTCAACAAGGTATTATGTCCAGTAAATTTACTGTTTGTATTTTGAGAAACGATTTCCGAAGTGGAAATTGAAACATCAATAAACGTATTTTTATCTTTAATTGTGGCTTTTTGCCTGATAATGAGGAAGACATATCCCAGTATGACGACAATAGCGATGATAATGGGGAAGATTATGTTGAACAGAGAGATGGAGATTCCGAAAGCGAACAAGAACTTGATAATACAGAAGCTGAAAAAGAAGAGGTATACACTGACAGAGAACACAATGAAGGAGATACTCAAAAAGAAGATAATCAAAAGACGTCCAACGAATCCAGAGCATATAAACGAGGCTCATTTTATACCGGAAAAGACAAAACAACACTTTGGAACAAACACAGTCCACCAGTGAAAATAAGATCCCATAGGACTCGATCGAAAAATGTTATTACTCAATTTTTAGGTCCAAAAATTCCTACCCGAAATTTGACTGACGTTGTAGAAATCTGGAAAAAGTTTTTTGATGAGTTTGTTATTGGAACTATTGTAACATTTACAAATCAGCACATCGAAAAATTTGCCAGAGGAAAATATGCAAGAGAAACATATACAAGGCCACTGATGCTTTAGAAGTAGAAGCTTTGATAGGCTTGTTATACCTAGCTGGAGTAAAGAAGATGAATAGACTGAATTATGATGAAATTTTCAGTACTAATGGGGATTCGCCTGAACTGTTTCGCTTGACGATGTCACAGCAACGCTTCCTGTTTCTTCTAAGACATCTTAGGTTTGATGATCAAGGTACAAGAGATGCTAGAAAAACGGTAGATAAACTGGCTCCAATTCGCGACGTTTTTCAGCAAGTGAATGAAAACTGCAACAAAACTTCAGCCTCTCTCATCACACAACGATTGACGAAATGCTGGTTGGGTTTCGCGGAAAATGCTCATTCAGACAGTATATTCCTTCGAAGCCAGCCAAGTATGGCGTTAAGATTTTTGCGTTAGCTGATGCTATAATGTTTTATACAGCAAATATGGAAGTGTATGTTGGCAAACAATCCATAGATTCTCCACATGCCGTCAGCAATTTCGCGATTGATGTGGTAAATAGGCTCGTTGAGCCCATTAGCGGAACTTGTAGGAACCTGAGGACCGACAACTGGTTTACCAGTGTAGAGCTATGTGAAAATTACTAAATGAGCACAAGTTAACACTTTTGGGAATAATTCGCAAGAACAAGAGACAGCTACCAATACAGCTTTCAATGGGCCAAGATCGACCAATTCCATCAAGTATATTTGCATTTAGGGAAAACTGAACTTTAGTGTCACATGTTCCAAAACCCAAGAAAAATGTCTTACTGATCTCTAGCATGCATTATGATGACCAAATTGACCAAACAACGCAGAAGCCCATGATGATAGTAGATTACAACAAGACGAAAATAGGAGTGGATATGATCGATCAGCTATCTTCAAACTATAATGTAGCGTGCAATACCAGGAGATGGCCTATGGTAATTTTTTATGCTTTGCTCAATGTAACGGGTATTAAATTATTTGTTATTTACAAATGCAATAAAGAACAAGATAAAATGTATGTCAGAAGAACATTTTTGACCCAACTTGCCATTGGTCTTACAAAGAATCATATGATAAGGAGACAAGCTGATCAGCATATAGCCCGGCCTATTCAAAAAAGGATACAGCAACTCTGGAAACTCCCAAGGAAAATCAGAGAACTGATGATCCACCTAGTGCTGGACGTTGCCAAGTTTGCACATCCAAACAAAACAGGAAAACCAAATATGCCTCGAACATGCTTACATTATTTGCAGTCAATGCTCAGGGGAAAGAGGGTGCAATACAAATAAATAGGTCGATTTAGATTAAATAATAAATGTATTTTGTTTTTATTTTATTGTCTATAAGAAATATAGTTTATTTTAATATTTTCATTCGTGGTGTTACAAAATACTGTTCTTGTTTATGTTTTTATTATTGGACTTTGGAATAAACATATTATTTGCGTATTAGCCTTTTGTTTTATTATAAAAAAACAATTGATGTGATAGATCATTCTTTAAAGGGGCTTAAGACCACATAAGTGTATATGGGTCTGAGAGTCTGTCGTCACCAGTAGTGTGGCAATTTGTCACGTCACCTCTGGAGAGTTAATTGTGTAAGGGTGAGAGATGTTTTTATACTTGTATTGCTTTGTCTCATATAGTTTTGTATTAGCACAAATTATTTCAGTAATATTTAAAAACAGTATTTTTCAATCATTTCAGTAATAACTAACAAAATTCATAAACCAGATCAAAATATCTAATAAAATTTATAAATCAATTACTAGCATTTTTTAAAATAGGGACAAAAATGAAGTGAATATAATCTAAATAATATAATTCCACTGTCCACAAAATAGACAGTACCAATTTTGGCGATATTACGCAAGCCCTTATCTCTTGCCGTACTGCTATACCATAGGCCGATCAGAATCAGACACCAGGATATTCGAGTCTAAGCCGCAGATTTATCTAGAATTTTAAACTGCTGCGTTAGCCTTTTTGTTTTTTGTACACAGAGCTGGGGATCGAACCCACATCCACTGCACCACTCGCAGTGAAGCGAATGAGAACCGGCCGCCCAGCCCGCTTGGCTATCTGACCGACAGATAAATACTTAATCCGCTTAATCATGGAAGCCAACTAGTATAAGGTCTTCGAAGCGAACTAGTATTTTTTTTAAACAAGGCTAATATATAATTAAAAGGGTTTTTGACTTCGGGAGCGAACTAGTGTGCTTCGTGTTACGACACAAGCTACAAACTTAGGGAGAAATATGATTAAGAAATAATGATTAAAAAAAACTATTCTACTTAACTTACAGGCTGTAGGAAAAAGTCCTTCGTCTTTAACATTTGAAGTAATCCACGGTACATCATTAATGTTACCTTCTTTAATTAACTTATAAGGATGATCGGGTAAAAATGGGTTTTCTCCTTTTTCTACTACAGGTCCAAAGACTACCATTGGAATACTATCTAAATAAATAAATAGTTTTGTCATGGCTTCCATCAGATCTACGGGACCAACTTTTCTTAGACAATCTACCATATCCTTGGTAGAATCACTACTGCAATTAAGATGTCCAGCAACTTCATTTGCTTTTTTTAATGGATATTCTACCATAGACCAAGAAGAGAAAGCAGTACCACTTTGAGAAAGTCCTCGATGAAATAATCCTAAAATTTATTAAGATTTCCAAATAACTACTTGATTTAATAGTGTGTTTAAGATTAAGTTGGTAAAATTATTGTAATAATATTTTTATAAATTTTTTAATTGTTTTAATTTTCAATTGTTTATCGAACTCTTTAAAATCACTCTGAACCACTTTATAGAGATACGTCCCGGATAATTAGATTTAACAATAACAGATACCTGACAAAAAAACAAGAAATATACAAAATAATACACATTAGTAATCGAAACTAGCGCTCATATCATTTTCATAGTCATTAACATCTTATACTTAAAGTACTTCTTACTATCATTCACTCGCGCATATACACCAAATTAGAAGAACACCTGAGTGAAGTTCAAGTTGAATTCAGAGCAGGAGTCGGAACGAGGTAAGAACTTTTTAGTTTGTAAGTTCTAATATAGAGAGCAAGAGAGGTTAACTGCAATGTGTATGAAAGTTTTATTGATTTCGAGAAGTAATATAATAAAGTCCCACATGGGAAACTAATCGATATCCTAAAAACATCAGGACTCGATGGTAACTATATAAGACTGATATCAAACTTATATCTCCAACAAAAACCATCAGTATGATTAGAAAATCAACTGTCCGAGATCTTTAGTCAAAAAGGAAGTTAGTCAGGGTTGCATATTGTCACCGGAATTATTTAACATTTACTCTGAAAACATCTTTAGATTAGGCCTTGAACGAATCAGAAGATGAGATTGCCAAAAATGGCAAACTTATAAACAACATTATATATTCAGACGATATAGTGTTGCTGGCAGATAGTGCGCAGTGGCTCCAAAGGATGATGGACAACGTTGTAGAAGCATCTAACAAATACGGCCTAAAACTAAATTGCAAGAAGACAAAAATAATGATCATTAGTAAGAACACCGGCATAAATACCCAAATTACAATTAACGATACACCGTTAGAAAGAGTGGAAAAAATATGCTATTTGGGCTGCAATATTAAGGATACTGTGTGTGTAAGGATACAGTGAAGAACACGGATTATCACTTAATATAAGCAAAACAAAAATAATGCTAATATCTAAATCACCCCAAAACTTCCCTGACATAACCGTGCATGATCAAAGAATCGAACGTGTAAGAAGATATAATTACCTGGGAACTGTTATCAACGAAAATAATGACTGCTCTGAAGAAATCAGAACCAGAATAAAGAAAGCTAGAGCCACATTTACTAAATTGAAAAAGGTGTTCTGCGGAAGAGATCTAAGTCTAAAACTTAAAATTCGCCTTTTGAGATGTTACGTTATGTCAGTTCTCCTCTACGGGATGGAAACATGGACATTGAAAAAGATCGATACCAAAAAGATAGAAGCATTTGAGTTGTGGATGTATCGTAGAATATTCAAAATACCCTGGACAGAGAAAGTAAGAAATGTGGAGGTTTTGCGGAGAGTGCGGAAAGAAAAAGAGCTGATACTTACTGTTAAAAAGCGCAAACTACAATATTTGAGACATGTTATGAGGGGAGATAAATACCAGTTGCTGCAATTGATTATACAGGGAAAGATAATGGGAAAGAGATCTATAGAAAGAAGAAGGCATTCATGGTTGAAAAACTTGAGAGAATGGTACAATTGCACCAATTACCAACTGTTTAGATCTGCAGCATCAAAAATACGCATAGCTTTGATGATAGCCAAACTTCGGAACGAAGACGGCACTTGAAGAAGAAGAAGATTAAGGATACTTGGGGTCACACTACGAAATAAAAACTCATATTGAAAAAGCCAGAAGCTCTTTCAACAGCCTTAGGAAGATCCTCTGCAACTTATCTTTAAGTATTAATATACGCATAAGAATTCTTAGATGTTACGTCTTTAGTGTCCTCTATGGAGTAGAAAGCATCATACGTAATGATAAATACCGACTTTTACAGTTGATTCTACAGGGCAGGATTGAGGATTGAGGATTGAGGATTGAGGATGAAGGATTGAGGATAAGAGAGGCCCTGGACGTAGATGTATATCTTGACTGCCAATCTTAGGAAGTGGACTGGTCTAACGTGAACTGATCTATTTCGACCTTGTATGAATAGAATAAGATAGGTCAATGTGGTCGCCAACATCTCTAGAAGATAGGCACATTTAGAAGATTAACATCTTGACAGACATATTGTGGTTCATAATTGAGCTTTATTATGTCAGACAGTTTAAATAATAATACAGGCAATACAAGCAATACCAACCTAAACATCATATATATATATATATATATATATATATATATATATATATATATATATATATATTATATATATATATATATGCCTACGTCCCACAGGTAGTGTTCCAACTACATGAAAAGAAAGAATTTTGGAGATCCCTTAATTGCGAGATGTTAGAGATTCCTGTAAATGAAAAGTATTTTATTGGAGGTGATTTGAATGGATATACTTTTAGAGAAAGAGCTGGAATAAAAAGGACGTTTACGAAGGTTTGGGGATGGAAATAAGAAATGATAAAGGAAATAGTTTGCAAATGCAAAAGAAGTTTTCACTCTATTCGAAAACGGAGCCAAGGAAGTTGGTTTAAAGGGCAACGAGGACAAGACCAAGTACATGGTGGTAAAGTCGTCAAAGAATTCAAGTACCTGGGATCGATCATAACATCTGAAAATAAATATAAAAAGGACGTGGCAGCCAGGATCATTGCAGGAAACAGGGTATCTTCTTCTTCCTATGCCGTTCCCATTAACGGAGGTTGGCGACCACATTTTTAAAAGCTTCTCTGTCTTTTGCAACGTGGAATAATTCGTCTACAGTCATGTTTGTCCAGTCTCGAATATTTCGCAGCCATGACTTCCTCTTTCTACCTATATATAGGTAAAGGAAACAGGTATATTAATATATAGGAACTATATGTATTAGTATATAGGAAACAGGGTATATTACTTAATAATGACCGTACTTAAATAAAAAATACAATCTTTTTTTTTGTGTTTTGGCTTGGACAATTGTCATTCAGCCAGTCTCAATCAAGATAAGTTTATTAATGTAGTGTGTGTGTGTTTTGTGTGTGTAGAGTAATTGTCTTGATACTTAGCAAAGTCGACGTCATTGTCTTTGCTAAGAGACGCTAATTGTATCCGAACGTCTGCAGTCCCTCCGGTGAGTACCGATCACATAAGGATACACGATAGAAATTATTTTCATTTATTAATTTTTTTAATAAACAAAAATTTCCACCCAGGTGAGATTCGAACTCACGACCTTTAGGTTTAAAGGTAGGCGCTCTTACCACTAAGGCACAGAGGGGGTTAAAAAATACAATCAATACCAGAAAAAATAAAAGTGTGTAAGACAATAATTCGTTCCACAATAACGTATGGAAGCAAGACATGCCCAACCAGCAGAAAACGACAAAATAACTGGTAATGGAAATAAGATACTGCGGACTATCTATGGGCCTTGCAGAGAAGAGGTAACGGAGAATGGAGAAGAAGGCACAATGATGGAAATAAGATACTGCGGACTATCTATGGGCCTTGCAGAGAAGAGATAACGGAAAATAGAGAAGAAGACACAATGATGAACTCCAGACAGTATATGAAGATGAAAACAGAGTACGCTACATTAAAGCAACCCGAATAAGATAGGCGAGCCATGTACTCAGATCGAGTGACGAAAGACTCGTGAACGCTACATTCTGGGAGAGGCCCGATGGCAGAAGGTCAGTTGGTCGACCAAAGAAGAGATGGAAGGACGCAGTAGCCAGTGATCTACGCAAAATTGGAACACAGCATTGGAAAATAGCTGCTCAGGACCGAGAACAATGGACGCAAACAGTAAACGCGGCCAAGACTCACATACATTTGTAGAGCTAAATGATTAATGTCATCAATACGTTCTTTATGAATATCAGTTACCAACTGTAACGTGATAAAGTGTGAGTGTGTAGCTAGTCAACTCTTACCAGCGATAAAAGATACGGAGATAAAGGTGGGGCGGAAAGAAAAGCAAGTAGGACATCAGAAAGTAAAGTGGTGGAACAATTAAAAAAAAGGGTTTGGCAACAGCTTTTAAGTTAAGAGTGCTTAAAAATCTTGAGGAAAAAACGGTTAATGACTGGTAGGATGCGATCAATAAAGTTGTGGTGGGAGTGGAAGAGCAAGTGCTAGAAAAAACATCTAGTAAAGTGCCTCCTATAGATATAGAAACTTGGTAGTCGAACGATGAAATATAAACAGAAGCTTAGAGAGAACAAAAAGACTAGAAAGAGCTATGAATTTAATATCATTTCAATTTAATTTTCAATCTCATTTCAGAAAACTAAAACAATAGTAATTAGTAGACTTATGGCAAATATGCAAATAAAAATGTAGAAAATATGCGCATAAATATGCACGTGTTTACCCGAAAATATGCAAATATTTTACAAAATATGCATACAAATGAATAAAAAATCGTAAAATAGTAACAATTTTATTTAAAAAAAAAAAGTGTACATAACTAAATATTTCCTACTATTTATTAAGATTTACATTTATTTTAAGTAACTACATCATTTTTAAGTATGAATAAACCTATTTAGAATTATGGTAACAATAAATGACCAAGTGATGTTCAAAATTTTCTAACAAAAACTTGTGGCTTCTGTCTGAGTACATATATTTATATATGGAAAAACTTCGTTCAACATCAACTGATGTAACGGGAGCATTTTTCAAACTAACTAAAACATTTGGTTCTAAATTAATTGTTTCCGAAATATTTCCAGCTAGAACACTGACTACTTCAGAAAGAATATGGTAACCTTTATTTTTTTTCCATAGTAGCTTCAAATTTTTTTAAAATATCTTTTCCAATATTTCCTCTAACTTTCTTTTTCTTTTATTAATGCTGTACTTTCGAACAATGACAGTTTTGGTGATTCTAACTGAGTAATTGTTTTTTGAACAAAACTAAAATTTGATTTTATAAATGAAAGTTCTTGTTGAAGCAAGTTACTCTGAAAAGTTTGTGTAGAATCCAAAAGAGATTGGGAACTTTCATCTGTTAACGTATCAATTATGTTCTTTATTTTAACAAAATGATCTGCATAAAAATTAGCTGCTTCTAACCATGTTCCCCATCGCGTTAAAATAGGTTGTGGTGGAAGAGGAATGTTAGGTAGCATTTCTTTATAAAGTTGTATTCTTATAGGAGATTTAAGAAATAC